GATTCTCGGGAAAATCTCGCCGTCGGCGGGGTCGATGGCGCCGTCGGCGCCCTAGTTCAATTCTGCACATTTTGGTTCTTTTTGCTCCAAATTCGCTCATTGTTGCATTTTTTTGCTCCAATGACCCTAATCCATCATTCCTGCGACAAAACATCAAAAATATCTTTCTTTAAAGTGCAATATCATCAAAAACAGTATAAAATAGATATGAAAATCTCAACATATTTTCCTCTGGTCACTGACCAACCTCTATCCACCCCTTCCCGTCACCCTAGAGTGTCTTGTTAGGCTTGGTATCTTCTATTTCCTGTTTTTGAAGAGTCATCGTTGTAGCATATTTGGATTTCAACAATAATATTATATTTTTTTTGTGGTTTGAGTTGACTCTAGTATCATTTTTCTTGCAGAAAGCCAGCAAAAAGAAACATAGCTAAATTCAGTTCATTGTATTATGCGCTGTTCCTCACTCCATAGCACATTACCTAGGCATACAAGTATTTCTCATGGCAATTTAATAAATAATTATAAATAAACCGATATAATGCATAATAGAAGCATTTTATTTGAAGTGTGCTTTAGGAGTTGTTATTCTTTAGCAGCTCAGCTGCACCAGAGTTTTTTTTTATTTTTTGTTTTTTCTTTTGCTTTGACTAGAGAATTCATGCATGCATGAATTCTGTATTACAAGTTCATGTGATCTCTGGAAGATCTTATATAGACTCTTGCAAAAAATAATTGGTTAATCATGCCAGGCATTCAGCTTTTCTTATCCGTACTCGCAGCATTCCATCTCAAATATTTGTAGTTCATCTTTTTTTTTTTTTTGGGTCTGTAATGTTGATCAATTTAGCTGAAATCTTGCTTGTTTTCTTGGTTGGAAACTCTGGATAAAAAATTTTACTTTTTTTTTTTCTTTTGTAATTTTGCAGGAAACCATCTGTGATTGTATGGCTTTCTGCGTTGGCATTTGAATTAGGCAAACAAGGAGCTGAACATAGAGTTCACGGGTTGTTTGAGAAAGCATTGGCGAATGATAAATTGCAGAAGTCAGCACTACTTTGGCGCTGCTATCTAGCTTATGAAACGGACATAGCATGTAATCCTTCTGCAGCCAGGCGTACTTTCTTCAGGGCTATTCACGCATGTCCATGGTAAAATACTTCAAATTAAAGTGAATATTTAATTCGATACTTTCTGTTAACGAATAAAAAAATGCTACGGCACTGTTCCCTTATTGTTATAATTTTATTCTAAGGAATATTCCAGAAAATGTTTGATTGTATGCACAACTGAATATTAATTTTCCACAACTAGAAACACAGTAGCCAAATTGCGATTCGATGTAAACAAATACTAAATCAGTTAGTGAACCAAGAATTTCAGTTTATTAATGGAGAATTTCTATTCTAGCATTAATTGTAGGTGTATAGTCACCTTCATATATGATGTTACAATAACGGGAAAAAAATCAAAGCTGGGTAAGTAGTTTTGTCAACCTAACCTTTGCCAGTAAAACTAGATGCTTGATTTATTTAACAAAACTGCTGAAGGAGAAAAGAATCCCTCATAAACTTATTTGAGAATTATGAAATCTCCCCTCCTGGTTATGCGTTTCCTCTAGTGTCTTGCATGTACAAAACACTTCTAGTTGCAAGTTAGTATTCTCTCACAATGGAACTTGATTCAATCTTATTAGTGGGTATGCTTGGCTTTGTAGTTATTCTCAGTTCTTAAATTTGTTCGTGCAATAGTTGGGCTTTCTTTCATTATTTAACAATAGAAAATGTGTTGGAAGAGCATTAATGTTAAGGAAGATTTACATACATACCACTCGATTCTTATGTATTTAGATATCTGACACCTATACTTCAATTTAAACATTCATAACGGCTCATGAAAAGTTGTATTCTAAATGTCAATTGATGGTATTTTTGATGTGATGTGAAAGATTTGAGTGATATAAATGTAAAAAAGCAAAGTGTTAGACGGGTAAATACATAGAAAATGGGTGGTATGCATGTAAATGCTCCCTATATTAATACTAGAACTTCATCTAGCGTCCTGTTTGCGTCCTATTATTACTGATTGTTATGGCTTTCACTATTCAATCAGGTCAAAAAGGTTATGGCTTGATGGATTTCAGAAATTAAGCTCGGTGATGTCCGCGAAAGAACTATCAGATCTGCAGGAAGTGATGCGTGACAAAGAAATACACCTCAGAACAGACATCTATGAAATCCTGCTTCAAGATGACATGGGGGTATGATGCGAAACTCATCTCAGTAGTTTACGCTGTATAATAATGCTTGGGTGTCCAGCTTTCCATAAAGTAGATAGCAGTGATATTAGTCAGTTGGTCGTGAAAAATTGATACTATATCCAGCTTTTGCCCAAAAGGGTTTCAACCCGACCTTTTTATTATATGGTCCGGCTTATTTTTAGGCTTTTTCACATTCAAAGCAGCAACAGGGTCTCTTGATTTGTGTGTAAAGTTTAAACTTGTACCATATATAATTATTTTGAGTAAACTCTTTCGTGGTATTTTTTTTTTTTGAAATAGTGCATTATTAAACGCTCTTATGTAGAGCCAGGCAGATGAAACTGTGTTACTCTGTCTTTCTTATGTATTATCTTACATAAATTATATTTTAAATACTCAATAAACAACTATATATGTCAATGTGGTAAAATGTACATCAAACTCAGTTTTATTTATATGTGACTCATGTAATAAATCCTCATTTTTTAGATTTGCTGCTTTTATGTTTTATTATTTATTATTTATTTTTATTTTTATTTTTATTTTTGGGGTGGGGGAAGTGTCCTAGTGGCCATTATATTATAAATTAGTGTTCAGAGTGTGCTAAAATTTGAGTATCGGAGAGAGAACTCTCTACTAACTTCTCCGTAGACCCTGCACTTTTTTGGCATTCAAAATTGATTGTTTTCGAATTTTGATGTGTCATTCCATTCAATTTTTTTATGTTACCATTTTTTCACATTTATATCAAGAAATATATATTTTTTAATTTCCACATTTCCTAATTTTATAATATATATACTAGAAATTAGTCATCATTAGTTTCATTCTATTTATTTGCAATTAAATTTTATGAAATCTCATTTATTTTGCTGTTTGTGGTTTTAAAGTTTGTTCCTTATAAATCATTTTACATAATCTTTTATACATGTTATTGTTACATATATGTTTTAAGGCTTAACTTTCCAGTTTTCTAGTATTAACTTCATCTGTTTCAATCCGACCATGTTTAAGCCACCTATACTTATTCTTACCTTTATTAACTTGATAACTGAACCATTTTTTCTAATATAATTATTTTATTGTAATAAACATTTACTCAGCATAAAGTTCTATGCAAAAGTTGAAAGTGCTGTCGCGCTACTTACATCGGTAAATTCTCACTAGTCGTATTTTTTGCAAGATTTTCAGAGCAATTAATTGACAAAAGAACAGCAGCATTTCATTTATCCGACTTGCTTCATTTTATTGCACCTTTTATGAAAAAGGCATGATTTGCTATACTGAGATAAAACTAGTTTTAGGCAGAAAGTTGGCAAGTGATGCTCCATACCTGAAGCAGGCAGTTGGTTAAGTTGAATTGTAAGTACCCATTTACTGCCCTGATCAACTTATTCTTAATTGTAAGTTCTGTTGTTAAAGTTCTGCATTCCATTGTTCCAATAAGTACATTATTGTTTAGAGATAAATATCACCAAATTCTTATATTTACATCTCTAACACCTAAATTATATGTTTTACATTTATACCACCTAAATCAGACATTTTGCATCCAAAATATCATAAAAAAGTGAACTACACCTATTCATGCATATGTGAAATGTAAATACGTAAGAATTAAAGTTTAGGTGAAATAAAATAATTAGTAAAAGATGGTCCAAGACTGCTTAGTAGTTCAGTTATAGGCTTTCTAGCTGATGGTGTAGCCATAAAAGTGCGTCCGCTTTGCTTGGGATTATTAGTGGGAGTACTGCAGCTAGAAGCAGCAAGGAGTGGTTATTGCTCAATTCACGCCATTTCAACAGAAATATACATCAGAGGTGATTGTGACAGATTCAGTATGGTTAGCTTTCATGGCTTTTCATGTGACAGAAATCTAGTTTCTTTCTGTTCATCTTTGCTTCTCTCTCTCTCTCTCTCTCTATCACTTGTATTACTGTTTCTCTCTCTTGATTTCACTACAGGTTGCAACGAAATCTGTGCCTTCCAACTGTGACTGAAACAACTAAAGCACAATTATTTATTTACATATCTAACCCAGAAGCTTTCAAATTTATACCTGCAACACTCAAATCTTTAATATCACATATGAAAATATCACTATTAATTACATTTTTTTTCAAATAAAATGCTTCTTTTCATGTAAAGATTTACTACATTAAGTTGTTAGAAATATAAACATGAGACTTTGTGTTGGATATGCAAATATATAAGAATTGTGTGATATGTATGTAGATTTATCTTTCTTGGAAGGTGCCGAACAAATTCAAAAAGTATACTTGTAAAACTTTAAATCATGTAAGCAGAAATTGAAATAACTTTAAAATAAGAAAATTAAATAATGAGAAAGATGTAAAGAGCCAACAGCCCTATTCTGCCTTCCATGCTTTTACTCCATGGGCAGCCATGTGTGCCTATTGAAATCCTAAAGTGCGCAGCAATGGCAGGCAGCTGCCTTCACTGCAAAATATTCGCACGTTCTGTACTAACGTTCGCCCAAGAAGCACTCATCACAATGAAGCTAATCATGCTCCCATACCCTCTTACGCTATCTTTATTATTATTATTCTTTTCAGCCAACTCTCATGGTGATACAACACTTTACTCATTTATTGTTTCCATTACGATTTTGAAGATTATGTTGAGGGATGAAGAATGAGAGGTTTCAAATTCAATGATTTAATATGATTCAGATAGTATAATAATGATGTAATGATAATAATTTCATTAATGTATAATATTTTTATTGGGGATACCTTATTCTTTGGATATTTTGAATATAATTCTAAATGGAAGTTATGTGTTTTGAAATTTTAATTATACGACTCTTTTTAATCTAATATTTTTTATTTCTAATCATCGAGGTTTAATAAAAATCAAACCGTTTTTAAAAAATTAAAATGAATTTGGACATGAATCGGCCTATTTAGATGATGATTGAATTGCTAGATCTGTCGATTCAATCCGATTTTTAATATTGTGATTCCCATCACTTTTTATTCGGAGTTAGAATTTTATAAAAATAATTTATTATTTGAACGAAATTATTCTAGTTTTACCTAGTCTCAAATATTATGGGTCTTCTCTCATATTTTGTTCCACTACTTCATCAATAGTATATAAAATGGAATAATAATGATCAATATTTTACAAATATAGTTAATTTCTTAAAAATTAAAATTGTAAGAATTGTCAAGAAATTTATAGAAGATAGAGCACTTTGAAGATTAATTTCATATATTAATGTGTGAAATTCAAATTTGTTCGGTAGATTATGCCTAAGGAATAGAACGTGGGACCGAGGGAATAAGAACGTGGGAGGGAGAGAAAGAGAGGGAGAGATGAAAAGAATAAGAGGAAGACTTGCCCCCCTAAGAGGCGAATCAGGGTGCTCACAGGCTCGTTGACCCATTTTATTCCAGAAAAAAAAGAGGTTACATGTGGGAGGAGCCAACAAACCCCTTTACATGAAAAGACCATCATATTTATAGATGATAGGAGGGTCAAAAAGTAAATTATAATATTATCCTTGCTTTTAAAAAGGATAGTATAGGATATAATACTCCTTTGTGTTGGTGTGTTCTAGCGGGTACCTCATAGACTGTTGGATCTGTCATTATAGGTTTTCTGTCAGGGGGAAAAGTCAGGTTTTGGTGGTAGTTCAGAGTAAAAAGCCCTCCATTGAAGGAACTCCGTCAAGGGGAAAAGATTTCTGTCGGCAAAAAGTCCTCTGTTGGAGAAAAAAATGACTGAGGATAGCCAATTCGACTGGAGCAAATTGCATCGAGATCCGTATAGACCATTATTGAGTACACATATTATGTTTATCAATTTTTTTTATTTATTAATAGCGACAACTATGATAAGGACAGAAAATTTTATAAATCAAACAAATCTTGAAAACATAATTTGTTAATAACACTCATTGTTAGGCGCTTTTCCTGCTCGATTCCAGTATCTTTAATGTTATATGTTGGATTTGTCATTATGGAATTTTTATTATCTAGGGAGTCATCAAATTTTGGTAATTTGTTGTAGGAAAAAGTCGGTCGTCTGAGAATAAAATTGCCCATCAGAGTTCTTTGTTTGTTTGTCTGTATTGGGGAAGAGTTCTAGAATTGCTTGCTATGGAGGAGAGTCCTGAAGCTCTCCAGAGTGGTGTCCTGAAGCTCCTGGAGTTATTCACCCCAAAGTGGTGTCCTGAAGTTGCTCGCCTCGGGGTGGAGTTCTGGAGTTGTTCGCCCTGAAGTGGAGTCCTAGAGCCGTTCACCCCAAGGTAGAGTTCTGGAGTTGTTCAACCTGGATTGGAGTCATAGAGCTCTGCATCTCTTACGGAGCTTGTTGCTGTCGAGCGACGAGTTGTTTTACACCCCTTATGGAGCTTGTCGTCGTCGAGTAACAAGTTGTCTTACACCCCTCGTGGTGCTTGTCGCTATCGGGTGTTAAAATATTTGAAAAGCTGAGGAAGATCGTTTCGCACCCCTCACAGAGTTTTTCACTACCGGGTGACGAGTCGTTTTACACCCCTCGTGGAGCTTGTGGCTGCCATGTGCTTAACTTTTTTTCACCCCATGTGAAGCTTGTCGTTGTGTGGTGTTAGTTTTTCTTGCACCCCTTGCATAGCTTGTTGTCGGGTGTTAGATTTTTTTTTGTAACCCTCGTGGAGTTTGTCGTTGTCAGGTGTTAGATTTTCTTTTGTACACCTCGCGGAGCTTGTCACTGCTGAGTATTAGATTTTTGTTGCATATCTAATGGGCGTGTCATTGCCACATTATAAGAGAAGAGGTCTAGACACCAACTACGATCTATATAGTCAACTACTACTGTTACAGTTTTCAACTATGACCTCAGTAGTCAATTGATGCTATGACAGTCACCAACTATGGTTTACATAGCCAAATGACATTATTGCAATCACTAAATACTACTGTTACAACTGCTAACTATGGCCTCTGTGGTCAATAGATGTTAATGCAGTCACTAACTACAACATATATGACCAACTGAAGATATTGTATTCACCAACTATGACCTATGTTGATCACTAATATTGTTGCAACTTCTAATTACAACCTCTATAACAAACTGACGATATTGCAGTCACAAACTACGATCTTTGTGACCAAATGATGATCTTACAGTTTCCAACCACGATCTTTGTGGGAACCTACTGCTTGTGCAACAACAACCAACTAAGGTTTTTGTGTCCTACAAGTATCGTTACAACTTTCAACTGTAGTCTTTGTGGCCGATTGTTGTTATTATAGCCATAGACTACAACCAATGTGATTGACTACATTTATTGATCCCTAATTGTGACTAATATAGTTGAACTGCTATTATACATTTGTAATATTATCATTGAAACTCCATCTTCTGTAATTCATGAGAAGAGTAAACTTATATACTTACAAACAAATAGTGAATTGTTTTGACTGTGTCAGACTTTGTGATCTTTTTCCTTCCTAGGATTTTTCCATGTAAAAAATCTCTGTAACTCCTGCTATTTTCTGTTATATATGTGTGTGTGTTAGATTTGGGTGCGACACAAAAATGTTAAATTATCACATAGAATAAAAAATAAAATTTTAAAATAATTTGAATTCAAACCTTAGTACATTTTTAAATGTATTTAAAATTCTTCTAATTTTAGGTGAATTTTTAGAGCACCGTAACAGTAAAACTTTGTCAGTCCACCGACGACCGGCTGTTGGCTGCTATCATCAACGCCCTCCTGACCGTCGACCACTGCGGCCTCCCCACCCTCCATCCTTTTACATTAATTTCATTTTTCAAAATAAAATAAAAATATAAATGCATCCATTTATTTTATATGTAATTAAACAAATCTAAAATATTTAAATACTTTGAATTTTTCTTATACTAAATTCTTTGACACAGTTTTTTTTTTCTTTTCAGCAAAATTAATGTCATTTAATTTGAAATGTCCGAAGCTTAGAGCGGATAAAATGCGACCGGCCAGCACATAATTATTCAGCACACAGTTTTTTTTTCTTTTCAGCAAAATTATTGTCATTTAATTCGAAATGTCCGAAGCTTAGAATGGATAAAATGCGACCGGCCAGCACATAATTATTCAGAGCGCACCTTCCAGGAGTAGGTTGATCATTAATTCCCTTAAGCTTAATTAGGAACTTTTACAATTTACTCCAATCACGTGAAGAATTTACATTCCAAAACAGGACTATCAAAAAGGACATGCATACCAAATCTCTGTTTCCTCACAATTACCGGCCAATTTAATTCTAAAGATTTAAGGTCTGTTTGGGGCAGCTACAGCTTATCTAATTTATACAGATAAGCTGTTTATTTTGACAAGCTACTAATCAACAGTTTAGTCAAATAAGTTGTCTGACTGTTTGGTTTGTGCGTTTGGAAAATAACTGATTTTGAATAAATGACCAGTCTGACCCTGTTTTGGATAAACTATTTAGTTGTTTGGTTCGTGCGTTTTGAAAACAGCTGATTTGCTAATTTTTTTTGGTAAATGAATAATCTATCACGTAGAAGTTGTAATATTTTCAACAAAACTGCAATCTCTAACCCTTAGATATTTTAGAACCAATTAAACGCTTTCATACTCATTCGACACATACAGACTACCCAAAAATTATTGTTGTTGGCACTGCCTGTAATAGATTAAATAATTTATTAGTGAAATAATTTATTAGTGAAATCATTTCAATGTAAAAATTGATGCAAGATGAAGTAATCTTAGATATTTATTTACCTCTAGTTTCTCAACTCACTATTCCTAATACGCGGCTGAAACACGAATACGTGGCCCGCGGGGGTCATCTCGCGGGCTGAATGTGTAACAAATTCAAAACTGAGTTTTTTAATAAGCAATTGAAAGTGCAATCCAAACGATTAAGCAGCGTTTTCAAAAACACCCTCGTACTTATAAGTTGCCCCATATGTTCAGCTCGCTAAAGCTCTAATGAATAAAAAAAATAAAGAATTTACAAACACACCGCACAATTCTTATGTATTTACATATCAAATACTAAAATTTAATAATTACTTTGCTTATCACTCAAAGCTTTGACAAAGACATCGAGGCGCAGACTTTGAATTAAATAAGTGAGCTTCTTTAGTTCAAAAATTTAAGCATGAGGGGAATCAGATTCGCCTCCTCTTCAATCATCATGATATTTAAAAGATTGAGCTCTCAAATCTTAATCATGCATTTCATTTTGAATGGTCATGATTGATCTCACTTTTTTTTTTCTAAATCACGATAATTAAAAATAATTAAACAAAATTGTTCGTATCTTTATTTTTTACTATTTATCATATTAGTTTCATATCCTTTAATTATCATGATAATTGAGGATGATCAGAAGCCATGAAAACCAATCTTATTGAATAAATTATTGATAGTTAAGAGGAAGCATATGTACCTCCCTTTTATTTAAAATGATAAATTTACACCAATTACAATATTTATTCGTATAAAAAATGTACACAAAACTTAAGGAGTCCAGCAAAATCACCGGAAGTTATCGTCGGATCTTAAATATGACATTGTGTTACAATCATATTTGTGATACGATGTTAGCAAATAGAGTTTATTGAACTTGGTGAGAAATGAGCGTCGTCAACGGCAACCGCCTGACAGTGGCCAATCGTCCTGTAGTTATCGTCGACGACGACCGACAAGTGGTGGTCACCCAAAGTTATTGTCGACTTTAAATAAACCACGACGGTTTGTGATAGAAGTCAATCCAGAATAACATTGAAATTTGACTTCTAATCCTCCTCTTCCTCCCTCCTTCAAGCGAAAGGATATGATCTATTTATATCCTCTGGGAAGGAACATTTTGGTCATTCGATAAATTACTCTCATAATCGTGCAATCGAATTACCCCCATTGATCCCTCTTAATCATAAGAATTTTTTGATAATTCCAAAGTCTTAATGATCCCAGAATTGAGTGATCTTTCAATTTCTCTCAATGAGAACCTCGATTTGATTATAGGTATATAAAATTTGGAGTTCGTTTAATCATTTAATGAACGATCTGAAGTCTCTAAATGTACTATAACGACTAAATCTAAATCTATTTAGACTCAAACTATACCATTTTTGGTATCATCGATTACAACATCACCTCGAGTGATGGTTTTTAATTTGAATCTGAAATATTTCTGATATAAAAATACTTTAAATTTGTTGATGCAGTGCGCGTGATGGTGCATAACTAATTAATGTATTCTCATAACCTAACATAACTTAATCTCACATAAAGTCCCCACAAAGATATAAACTTAACATACATCTCTACAATTCACTTAGCCATCTATCTACAACACAAAGATCAGAACCAACAAAAACAAACACTGAAACAAAAACAGCATCAGCACTTCCATCACCCTCTTGTTCTCACAATGGTAATACTCCCCTTACCGCGCGTATGAATCCTCGTAAGCCCCACCACCGCCTTGCCGGAAAGCCCCGGCCCGCCGCCGACATCCGCCACGCAAGGCAAGCACTTGTACTCCCCCACCGGATGCCTCACCGGCCTCATCGGCCTCATCATAATCCTCCTATTAATCTCTGCAAGTGTCACCTCCCCTTCTTCAAGCCCTGCAGGCTTCAGAACTGCAAAAGGATAGGCCACCTTCTTCTTCCTTCTCTTCATTGTTCTATCTCCATTTTCTTCTTTCTTTGTCTTCTTTTTTCTTTACGGCTAAAATGGTGGAGCAGATCTCTTGAGAGGATGAGGAGGGAGGGGAGAAGAGTGTTTCTTTATGGATTTTGGCTCCTGTTCTCTCTTTTGCTTCCGCCACTCCCCCTACCGCGTGTATGAATCCTTGTAAGCCCCACCACTGCCTTGCCGGAAAGCCCCGGCCCGCCGCCGACGTCCGCCACGCAAGGCAAGCACTTGTACTCCCCCACTGGATGCCTCACCGGCCTCGTCGGCCTCATCATAATCCTCCTATTAATCTCTGCA